CCTGATACAGTCCAAACGCCTTACTGATGGCCTTCGAAAGAACCACATCCTTCCGAGCAACAGCCCTAACGCAGCAGGCAAGGTCGGGATGTACGGATGACACAATCCACGGCTGCCATCGCCGCTGCGCAGATTCATAATCACCCATTTCCACGTTCAGCCTTGTTATTATATGAAGCATAGCGAAGTATCTGGGCCGAGGTTGAGCACTGCCACATCCCGGCCGTCAACGCCGCCGCTGTAGTGCCGTTCGCCATTGGGTACCTGTGCACATGCTTGCTTCTGCTAGGAAGGGAAAACTTACCAAGTAGTAGAGCCCCACGATGACTGAGAGGCACATGCAAAGGAGGAGCACATAGACCCCGAAGTACCCTAAGGCCTCCTCGAACGTTATTGGAATCATCTTAGTTGCAGTGCAGCGATTCGGTTAGTCCGAGATTGGGGCGAGGGCCGCCGCTGGCAGCTGCTGCGGCAGGCACTGACACCGCTTGCTGCTCCCAACGTGCAGCTCTCGAGCGCGCCCGTTTGATACGGTTGTCTGTCCAGAATCGTTTGGCGAGGCATGCGAGGCAAGGCTTGTTTTAGGAAGGCAGGTCAGGGCTATCGCACGTCCGTTACGGCGAAAGAAGCACGATTCAGCTTAGCACAGTCTCGCGCAGTAGCGACACGCAGCCACGACATTTTGTGAGAGCGGCCGTGCCGCCATGCCGACGCTACTGCAGCGTCTAACTTAATGCAACAATCGTTTTTGGGAGCAGTTAGCAAGGGTACGTGTCCTAGGGAACACGATGACATCAACCTGCGAAGCGGGTCACTTACCACGGGTACCACTTTGATTGTTTTTCAGAAGTGTTCATCCTTAAGCAGTAATCCGTGATCTAATGATATATGATGAAGCCTGGGCATCCAAGGCTCAATCGTGCGTCTGTCAGGTCTTAGCGGGAAGCTGCCTTGGCGCTGCGCGCCTTCAGGATTGAGATAGATATTTCTGCGGTACAATTTTATGGAAAAGATCATTTTGCGGCTTTGGTTTTATCCACCAACCTTCAATTGGACCCACGCGGCGATCGCACCTGTAGTACAAGTGAAACAACATTTGCTTAATCGCAAGAAATCATAGCTTCACAAGCCCAACCGTTGTGCGCTCATTGACGCTTTGAAACCAAATTCCATGTCGTACGCTATGGTTAAGTAGCTAACCGCCCTAAGGGCCGTACAGAATAACCCGGTACAAAGGGTTCCTGACGCCCTGAGCCCTGACAAATCTTGGCTGCGCCCTAACGTCTTCAAGAATTTTAGGATCCAAAGACCTGTATAACTGCAGCACAAGTCACGTCCTACAGGTGCCCATCTAAGCACGTGTTCTCTCGGCGCCTTTACACGGAGAAATCCCAAACTGAGTACCTAGACGGACAGACGGGCTTTTCCCCCCCGGGTCCCGGGGAAAGGCCCCCAGTTCTCACACTCTGGACCTAGCCCACAGTGTTTGAAGACCACAAATCTCGCCAATGCTGTGTGCCGATGTGCGTTCCGTTTCCTATCCTCAGCCAGCAGCTGCGGGCCCTGGCGCCGGCTCACTACGGCTAGGGTTTGAAGTCGAAGTCGGGCGCTGAGGCTGCTTTCTCCACCATCCATGGCCCAGCCATGACCACCAGCTGCGCTTGTTAGGCGGTGCAGCAGCAGCAGCAGCAGCAGTAGCAGTAGTAGCAGTAGTAGCCCTGGCCGGCGTCGTAGCACCGGCTGGCGAGGAGCTATCGTACCTGCTGCTGCTGCCGCTGCTGTTAGCCCCTGCATTGCCCTCCATCAGCGTGGTCCGGCAGCCAGGCTGCTCCTCCTCTTCTGCTGGTGCTGGTGCTGCTGATGGTGCTGGTGCTGCTGATGGTGATACTGCTGCTGCTCCCCTTGGGATCCCCGAGTGCCCCTCCCTGGCAATCTGGTTGATCACGCGCCCCGCGTAGAATGTACCCACGATTCCTAGACCCGCGATAAGGACCGCCAGGACCGCTGCGCGAGGTGGCATTTTGGTAGTTAGGGGCCATATTGGGGTGGGGTGTAAAAGGCCAGGGGTGAGAGGGTAAGCAGATGTTTGTTTTCGGGGGGAAACACACGGCAGACAGACGGTAGGGTGCCGCCGTAGTCACAATTAGGTGATGGCCTACGACTTGCAAGGTGTGCGGGTATTGGGAATTAAGGCGTTCGTGAGTGAGTACGGTGTCGTACGAGCGAACGTGGCTGAGGTGAACGGAAAGCGAAGGCGAGAGAGGCCATGGGGAGTCATGGGGCGGCAGGGGGGAGATTAACTGCCGACCTGAGGAGAACCAACTAGCGATAGCTGGGCCGGGAAAAAGGAGGGGGTCGCGCGGTGAGCATTGGCTGGCCACGATCAGTCGGAGCGTTGACAACAGCAGTAGCAGAAGTAGCAGCAGCCGTATGGCGGTGCATGTTATGAGCCCCAATGAATTGGGAACTGCTGCGACGGCATGTGGCTCTCGGCACCCGTCCAGAGTTCACGTGTCATTTCTCGCCCTTCATGTGCGTGTACATTACGGGCTTTGCGGCTTCAGACGAGCAACGTTTATCCATCACAATGCACGTACGTACATACATACATACCGACGTACCGCTGATGGCTGCCCCGGCCGCCACAAACAGCGTGCCGGGGATTTCAGCGTTCGGATCCAGTGGCACCACGGGCGCCGACTCCTCGTCTTCCTCAACCTCATCCCACCCCTGGTGCTCATGTTGCTGTTGCTGCTGCTGTTGCTGTTGCTGCTGCTGTTGCTGCTGCTGCTGCTGTTGCTGCTGCTGTTCTTGTTGTTGCTGCTGGGTTGCCAAGCCACCGTGACTGGTGTTTTTGTCGCCGGCAGCCTCACCTCCTCCGCTCGTTCTCGTTCTCGCGGTGTCCTTCCCCGCGCCCTCGGGACCGACCTCCTTGGGAACCGGGGGCCCCGCTGCCCCGCTGCCAAGCGCCCGCGCAGAAGCACCCGGTGCTTGGCCAAGTGGCGGAATAGCCCCAAGGGCGACGACGATTGCGGGTTGCCCTTGCTTAACAAGAGCCAAGTTGGGGACCCCGACGAGTCGGAAGGGTGTCAGGATGCGCCGATTGAGGCGAGAAGCTGCGGGAGGACATTGGCTGGTGCAGCTACTACTGCAGGCTCGAGGCGTTGCTGCCGAAGAAGCAGCAACGGACTGGAAATGGGCCATGACGTCGGCGGGTAGGGAGGGATATAGAGACGGCGGGCAAGGAACCGCGGGGGCGGCCGCCGTCGCGGCGGTCCCTCCAGCGGTTGCTGCGAGAGGGTTAAGGGGGTGCGGGCATGGGCTGGGTCACAGGCTCCTGGGCCGCGAGCGTGTGGTAGGTATCCGGCTGCAGATACCCTAGCCGCTGGATCATGCTTTCCAATATTAATACAATCTCTCTGCATGATAATGATTGGAATTTGAGCATTTCTCCCGAAAGGACTCTTGCTGCGCAGACTCCGCAGTTGGCGTTCCGTGCTGCTCGTACGCGTATAATTATAGGCGCACCTGCTGCCAGTCGCTGGAGGATCCGTAATCTTTGACAAACATTTTTTGGCATCTTGAAATTTTCTTCCGATTACTTCGCAAATCTTGTAGTCGTGGATGTTACAACACTTATTAAGACTTAATAAATGTTTGATTGAGAAGTGTTTGGATGCATTTGCCAAGAACGCAAGTATGAAAATGTACGCTACACTGCTTATTGCCGAGTTGCGTCGGCGTAGCATCACCATAATGCATAAGCCTTATGATGTTGCACAGTTGCCGTACAGCCCTGTATAGTATAAGCTTCTGTCCAGACGTAACACGTCAACCTTGCCGAAGCAGGTACGGGTTCCGTTACCCTGCCTTTCGTGGTGGTGGCTTAAGAGCATGCGAAAACTGACCCCGGTTTGGCCCTGTCCTGCCAACTACGCAGCTCATACAGGCTGATTGCAGGGAGCTACGTCGCCGTGGCCAAGGCAATGCCATCCAACGTATTAGCACCAAACGAGTTATATGATGATAGGGTTGACGTATTTTGGTTTTTGGCGTCGTTCCACCCCCGGTACCGCGGCTGAGAGCCAGAAGATAATAGCCATGGAAACCAACCTTGTAAAGCAAACGCCTCTCAAGTCCACAACATTTATTGTCTTGTCTTGAAGCTGCTGACCATTCAAGGTTGGCAAGTCAGACGGATCTGACCCGGGAAGAATGATGAAGTTTGGCCCCCACAACCCTAAAACCCTTTTTACCTACCGCGGTACCTACCATGTAAGGCCCCAATAATGATTTCAAACCCAAAGGATGAGGTGGCACATCTCCTGAGGAGAAATGGCATCGTTCAGCGGGCCGAGCACACCGGGTACGACCGGCCGTGGCGGTCACGAACCTGCGAGTAAGCTTGGGAACGCTTATGGTTATCTCTTCCCATGAAGGTTCACGCGCTAGTGCGTTTGCAATTTCCGTCGGATCACGATCCCACCGTTGGGTACTGATGCCGCAGCTGCTGAGTGCTGCAGCCTGGGCAATAGTGCCCTCGCTGCCTTGGCTGCAGACTTCAATCACAACCCAAGCTTTTTGGGGTCGCTCTTCCCTATGGATAACGGGATCCCAGGGTTGAAAACGTGAAGAGCAAGTAATATGTATGCGGCAATTCACTCTACCTCGGCTTGTCGGCGGCTAGTTTGTTAGCTATGTCAGTTTTGTAGTGTAACGTCGAAGCACGAGAATTTTGAATTGTAGAGTTTGACTTGGTCCATCAACTTGATCTTCTGGCTTAGGTAGCATCTGCGTTTCTAAGTGTCTTCGCCCTGCACAACCCTAAGCACGGTTGCGAATAGCTGCGACTGGTACGCAACGTATTGCAAAGGAAATAGTCGAGCGGCTCGGTTGCTCGCGGGCACCAAAGAACGCAGTTTCAAAAGCCGCGTGAAGTACCCGTCAGAAAGTCAGATAATGGTTAGTGCTAGCATCAGGTTACATTCTCAGCATCGCAAAAAGTTCCACTGCTTTCGGAGCGTTGCAACCAGGATGTTGCGAAAAATGCTCAGGATTGACGCAGCGCTTCTTGAAATAAAGGTGATTAAAAACATGTATGGGGCGTGAGATCAGTAGTTTTGAGCGTACGTGAGAACAAGCTTTATGGGGCTGCCGCAGCGGCAGCCAGTGTGTACCTTTGTGACGGAGGCATGTATTTCAGATAGTCGCATTAAAAGCAAAGCTACAAAAGAGACAACATTAATCTCTTACAAAGCAACTATATCAACCTCAAGGTGTATCGGGCCCCAGTTACGAGAGCACGTGCTTCACGACAAGTAGGTGACGCCAGTGGACACTAACTGAACAAAACGAAAACTTAATGCCTATTCTTGTAACTGAATGCAATAATAGAATTAATTCTTTCAGGTTTAACATTGTCATCCATCAAGCCTGCTTACGTCTGAGTTACATCCGATGACCCGGTTCGGTCCATCTGACCGCCGCCAAGTGGCTTTGACCTGTTTGAGGCCCTGAAACCCCCAAAGAATAACTCAGAAACTCTTATTGAGTCCTTCACACACATTTTTCTATTTAATGTGCCGCAACACGATGAAAGCTGCCCCTTCAACTGCTCCGTTGAGCTGCTCGCCCTTTGCTGCTCTCAACAACAACAGCTGCACGTCGAAAGGCGACTTATTAACTTCTCCAATAAGCCATTTTCAAGTCGTCAATTCCCCGAAAGGCATCTTCGGATCTTGGTCTCGCAAAGGCGCCGTCATGGCATCGCTTCGCCAACTTGGCAACGCCTTCGGTCTCGGCAAACTCTCCCGAACGTCAAAGGAATCACATCTGCGAGACTCTAAAAGCCACATTGTCGGTAAGTGATCCGCGACGGCTGACAGTTTTTCCGCCACGCCTTACATGGCATGTCTGGCGTCTGACTCCCGCCGCCGTCGCCGTCATAACCGCCGAAGTTGCCTCTCTTCCACCACAGTGAACTCAGCACATGGCGGTTTGCAAAATCGAAGCTATGCCGAGGTTGCCCCACCCGCACGCCTCCGCCTCACATCCAGCGCTCTAGACCTCACCCTTGGCGACGATTTCTCCACCCGCCCAGTTGCCCCCATCTCCCGCGCCCGCCATGTCCCCATCACAACCGCCGCCACCGTGGCAACCAGCATTAAGATGACGGCGGCATCGCCCATCTCCTGCGCCAGTTCTGGCCTGCAGATGGCCCCACCAGGTGCATCCGCCCGCAACATTAACCCGCTGCCACTACCGCCGCAGCCCGACACCCAATCAGCACCACAGCGCAGCCTCGGAGTCAGCTGCATATCTGAGCAACTTGCACAGCTCAAGATCCATTCCCATCACCACAATTATCACCAGCAGCAAGGCCAAATCCCGTTAGAATCCGACAGGCGGGACGTCGCGCCAGCGCTCAGCCTGGAAGCCAGCCTTTCAGCGCCACCTAATTGGCATGAAGAGCTACAGCGGGTCTGCTCGCTGGTGTCCTCTGCCGGGGTCGAGGCCGCAGGTCCAGCAGGGCATTTGGTGCCTCCGGCGAAGCCGGCGGTTGCGGCGGCTGTGGCGGGCCCTGCGTCACCCGGGGTGCAGGAATCACGGTGCAGGTGCTCTCCGCAAAGCGAGTCGTGGGCGGGCGGCATATCCACATGCGCTGAGAAGCATACAAGCCTGGAAGCTGAACGGCTGCTCCAAGTCAAACATCATTTGGAACAGCAACAGCAGTCTCACCCGCAGCCACAGCAGCTGCAGCCACAGCAGCTGCAGCAGCAGGGCAACTTGGAGGTGCTCTCGCGTCTGTCGCCTATTCAGGAAACACGCACCCCGCCGGAGCCCGGTTGCCTACTTGGGATGGCCCGGGAGCTGCCTCACGGAATGCGGAGGAGCAACTGGTCCATCGGCGATTACTCCATCGCGAGGCGACTGTTCAAGGGTGAAAGGACTGCGGTGTACAAGGCAAGCGGTCCCAGGCGATTTTTTCTTTTTCACTTTGTTCGTAGTTGCAGGATCTCAAATGCACACCTTTCCACGAAATCATTGTCAACTTACTCGCCTGACTGCGCATATACATGCTACACATACACGTTCGCTTACTCGCTATCGCTGCTGCTGCTGCTGCTGCTGCGTGATTATAGGCCACCTGTAAGCTCACTGGATTGCCCGTAGCCCTCAAGGTCTATTTCTTGTCCCGCACACCTCACAACGTGCTACATCAAGTAGCGCGCGAGATCCAGATCCATCTTGGTCTCCACCACAAGAACGTCCTGGATCTGTACGGCGCTTTTCAGGTGTGGCCGCTTGGGGCGGCTTTCGCCATAACCATATATATGCGGCCTAGTACCGTGCATGGACCTTTGGCTGCCATCTTCATCCATTTCATGAAAGCTCTTTCTTCGTTCTGTCCACTACCGCCAGGACAGTTTCAGGCCCTCGCTTGCCATGTCCTCCTCCACCACCACCACCACAACCGCGTTGGTGCACCGCATTGTTGCTGCTGCTGCTGCGTCATTCTCCACCCACTAGTTACAAATAGAGCTCGAATGAACGGCTCGTGTGCAGTGCATCAACCCCGTCACAACGAACACCGCCCGCGCAACACTGCTGTGGGCCTTATTACACGGCCAAGCATAGCCTCATAGCCTCATGGACGATACGGCCTCAGTCAGCACTCACACAGTATTGAAGTCAGAACAGCACAACGACGTCTTAAAGTCGCTGGTTGTCGGGTCCATGGCAGATTAGTTTGTAACACCTCTCAAGAAGAGAACAAGAACGGGCGGATAGACGGTATGGACTCTCAGGCTTTGGACCGTGTCTTGTCCAGTCACGGACACGCAGTACGGCGAGCCCGTTATACCTCAGGCACTCCCAACGGAAAATGCCTTGTTCAGCCATATGGTTCACCTCTGGGGTTCGCCCGCCGGGCTAGGTACCAAACACGCGCTGGGTTGTGTTTTTCGGTGCAGCTACTCCACTGTTGCAGTCAAAGTTACTCAATACAACTACTCGGTTCCACTTGGTTGGTTCATTTGGTCTGCTTCCGTTAACCATGAGTTCATCACGCGTTCTATTGGCCCGTATCTGGTGCAGGACTCCAAGCGGCTGGTCCTGGTTACGGAGTTAGCCATGCGTGGAGATCTGTTCGCCCTGAAGAGCGCTATGGACAGGCCGATGAGTGAAGAGCAGCTGCGGTACGTGGTTCTGGTGCCGCTGTTGGACGCTCTGTCGTACTTGCACGGCAAAGGCATCTGCCACCGGGACATCAAGGTGTGTCGTACAATGTGACGCGGCGGGCTATCTATGCTAGGCCACGGACATGGCGATGGCCACAGATAGAGGTGTCGAGAGTTGAGAGGGTTTTGCGGGATGCGGGCGTTCAAGGATTCAACGACCCCATTTCGTAGTGGCGGCTGCAGCAATGTGCAGGTGTTGGTGCTGCTTCCGGGTCATGGTTGTTTACTCTACGATGCTCCTAAAACCATATCTTATAAAGTATATCCCAAGCCATATGTAATGAAGCTCATCCTTGCATATATATGCCGTATAACCCTGGCATGTGCGCGTGGGTTCTCCTCTTCCTCCTCCTCCCCTGCTGCTATCGCTACTGCTGCTACTGCTGCTACCGCTAATCCTTCTCCCCCTGCTGCTATCGCTACTGCTACTGCTGCTGCTACTGCTACTGCTGCTGCTACTGCTTACCTTTCCTCTTGCCCTCCTCACTACCTTGTGTTACCTTCCCTCAGCCCGAGAACCTGCTGATCACCGCCGACTGGGGCCTCCGTCTCGCGGACTTCGGGGTGTCCATAAACCTCACGGAGGAGCGGGCGGTCACAAGAGCAGGGACAGGTGAATGGGTGGAGGCGAGGAAGAGGGCCCCTGCTGGCTGGGGCCAAAGAAAAAGAGGGGGAGCACGAAAGTGAGTTGCTAGATGGCTGGAAGGCCCGGATTCGGTCCAGTGCCAGCACCGGTTCAAATTTTTGGGGCCCTCACGGGCGAGATATGGCGTCTGTGTAGAGTGTTCGAGTCCGGAAGCTTGAGGCCTCTTCTGGAAATTAGGAAAAAGGCTTAAATAGGCTCTTCGTTGAGGGCGCCGGAAACGCGGCGAATGAGCGTGAGGCGCTCGACTTGGATACCTGCATGCCGCACACAGGTTTTTCGTCCTGCATCTTCTTGTAATAGCATGAATAGCACGTCTTATTTAGGAGTTACCCCAAAAACCTTTTCCTCGGCCCATGATTACCAATCTACGTTTGTGTTCTTTTTCCACTTTCTATGCGTTTTTTTACACATGCTTGCGCATATGGACATCATGGCCGGGATGGCTGAATGACACGGCGCGCACGGCACAACCGTCAACTGTCAACCGCCACTGCGCATCTTCCTCAACGACTTCCGCCGATAGCTGAATACATGGCAAGTCAGGGCGTTCCGTTGGGGCAGTAACGCATGGAAGGCAAAGCAGCGGGGTTTGCAATTGGGCTTCAACGATAATTGTATTGTGCTCATTCATTGGAAGGCAAAATGTACGACGGGTTTTGCCGTGTCTGCTGGCGGTCGTTCCGCGTCAACAAGCGTTTCCGTTGCGTCTGAGCACCTTGGCCCCATCAATGTTGGCCGCGTAAATCTGTACATGAGCGCGCTGCACCCTGACCTCCCGCCCTTACCATACTCACGATCTGCTAGCTGCTGCAACTCTTCCTGCTGCTCACCAGCTTGCATGGCTGTATCACAAGCGAACGCGCCGGGCGATTAACTAGGATTGACTCCGTCTTTCATGGCGTGCGCATGATGCCGACGAATCTCTAGGGACGGACTTCGCTGGCGCCTGAGGGCATCTGTAAACGTTGGCCCTGGAACCGGTACATACATGCATACATGCATACATGCATACATACATGGTGCACATGCTGTTTATGTCGCGTCTTCAGGCGCCCGAGGTGGATCGTTGCCCGCTCAAGACATGTCCGGAAGATAACAAGGACGATATGTTGCTGGCCTATACCACAGCGGCGGTAAGCCCCTTTTGCTGGGCAGTTACATGAATCCCCCCAAAAGACGCGTTGCTACGTTCCGGCCTCGGCTCTAAAGGCTTCCCACCCCCCACCTCTACGCTCCAGGACGTTTGGAGTGTGGGTGTTTTGGTGTACGAGCTGCTGGTCGGCTTCCCGCCCATACTGCTCGGCAAGGGTGGCCTCAAATTCCCCGCCTCCGTGTCCGCTGGGGCACGTGACTTCATCATCTCCGCGCTGGCCCATCTGCCGGAGGAACGACCCACGGTTCGGCAGTTGCGCTGCCACCCCTGGATGCTGGCCGCCGGCGCTGCGACCGCGTCCCATTAGCAGCAAATCCGATTTCCTATTCTGCATCTCACCTCGCTGCTAATTTCAAAAGAGTTATATAAATACATGCATTCGCCAGCAGATAAGAATACGCCGGGTTATCCCGTCCCTTATTATATATTCTACAAGCTCTAATAAACAGGGATAATGGCCAATATATATTACATAACATATATGCCCATATACATGCTGCCCATTACGTTGGTTGATGGTTGAATAAATGCATACTGAATTTTGTTGCGGGTGGTCGTTCGCGCATCATGACGCATAAAGATGTTGCCAGGACGACACACGAGCGCCCTGGATAAATGGATGGATAGATGGATAGATAGGTGGGCGATTTACCATCTCTATCTCCACCTTATATGCGCTGAAGATTGATTATGGAGAATACGTCCGGCAGCACGGCCGGCGGGGTTTAGGGCGGGTAGGAGCCACTGTGTTTTATTCTGGGCATGTAGGCCGGGCAGGAGGTGATGAACAACGCCGGTGCGGGCAGCAGTCTCACGACAGAGACACACACATACACACACACACACACGCACACACGCACGCAATACCTCATTGACATCCCGCGCAAGGTACGTTTCTTTCATAAATGGTTGTGCATATCGAGCTTATGTACGCCATCCCAGGTAGTAAGCCTCCCTGAATGTCTTGCTGGATTGCACCTGCTGGCTAGCGGCGCTTCGGAAATGATGCAATAATCGAGCCATTAGGTTGTGAAGGCATATGATGATACCAGATTGAAGTACTGCGTATTGGCACATACATGCATCTGGCCCTATTTTGTTTTCGTCAAAAGCTATCTAGGCCTTTTTAGGTCGGGGCGGCTCGGTTACACTACACGTACTTTTAAATTGCAGCTCTGGAGCTAGATCTGCTTTGACGGCTCGTTGCTGTTAGTTAGTCAGGTGCAGCTTTAGTAGTTGGCCGAGCATACTGTTGTAGCTTTTTATTGGTTGTCGGTTTAGCTTTTTAGTCTAGCTGGTTCCCTTGTTCCCTTGCAAGCGCATTATGTCAAGCATGCATCAAGATCTGCAATCTAATGCCGTGCGATCCTATTAGGGATGTAGGTAGCTAGTTTGGTCCACGATTCTGACGATTAGTTGCAGTAGTTGCGTTATGTTCGTGTTTGAAGGCTCAACGACGCGCAAGCGTGGTGCAGCTTCATGCCTGCTGCTGCGGGTGCGTGAACTTGAGGCAAGCGTGCTTCAACAGTTTTGTCGTTTGTTATAAGGACAAGTTACAGCTTAACGCGCGGCTGCACGATTGAGCTCTTATAGTCCAGCGGCGTCCTGCACTGGTCCCTTGCATTTGGGGGCGGGGTTGGCTGCACTGCGGATTTTGAAGAAGGTTTCGATGAAATGTAGCTTTGGCTCCATTTCCATTTATGTTGGACAATGATCGGGACATTGGCTGCGGCGGTTATGCGCTTTCAATCTTCATACGTGCTGACCTAGATTGACAGCTGATTGACAAGCCTAGAAAAGTAAGGTGTTTCTATCTGGGGTGTGCGCTACTGGTGCTTCTGGCCATTTCCACGCAAACGACCGCAGCAGACGCTACGTCAGATGGATGGCCTGCTGCTGCTGGCGACAAGTATTGGCTGCAATAAATCTTTTTGTCCCTGCCACTATTGCAGGACCTTTTGCAGGATTTGCAGCAATACATATGTTGTGCATTTCCACGAGGCACTGTTTGCAGAGATTTTTAGCATCTGTTTAGGAAATGTCTGTAGGTGGTGAAGCCTTTTTGCATTACATATGGTTTCGGGGGCGGCAGATGCTTCGTGATGCTTATTAAGAATTTGTATGTTGACGCTGATGATCATAATATAATTGATAATAACGCAAGCTAGCCTTCCCCACCCGCTGGCAATGTCGTTAAGCGTGCACGTGATAACGGGGCGCTCGGCGCTGGATGATTCTATCCTGTTTTGACAATACTGCGTATGCTTTCGAAGGACGTCATAGGGGTCGCTGTAGTGACGTGGAGGATTGAGCGCAAGGATTTGAAGCAGGAATTCATTCTTATGCTGCTGCCTGACGGCGCGTGCTTTAGAGGAATTCATTTATGGGAACAGGAGCGAGCCGCTGGTGGTGCTAGTGGCGGCAGTGGTGCTGGTGCACGTGCTGGTGCTGCATGCTTTCAATCGGTGATGGCAACACCTAAATAGACCCGCTTCGTTGCATGGCTCTGTTTTTTTGTTTCGCAAATGCAGGGCTAGGGCTGGCGAGCGAAATGGTTGGGTGTTCCTTTTTGACCGAGCCGTAGCGTGTCCGGGCACAGCATGCTAAAAGCATTTCTAGATACCATCTTCCGTTGGGTGCCGCACGCAACGGAAGGTTTATGGCCGGGCACCGTCTGAATGCAAAAACAGCGGTTTGCGGTCGGAAAGGGAGAGCGCCAACTGCGCACCCGGACCCCTATCTAGTGAACTGCTGCCGCCTCCGCCAATCTCATTATTTTGCACTACTGCTCGGTTCGTTGGCATCTGCTTGTCTGTCTGTCCGTCCTTCTGTCTGCCTGTCCATGTCTCTGTCTGTCGACCTGCCTGTCTGTCTGTCCACCTGCTGCCGTCTGGATGTCCATACGTCTGTCTGTCTCAGCACGTGTGCCCACCTTTTGCGTGCTCACCTTACCTTGGCTCTTAAGCCATCGTCGTACGTACACACATGCATACAGACGATCTTTTAGGGTTTGGTTTGTAATTCAAGTCGATGCCTCTCATATCATCTGTCTGCTTGAGAACGCAAGTCAGGTATTCACAGATCTCAATTCGTTCTTCAGACTCCTTTTGTTCGCTTCTGAACGTGTTCCAGCTCAGCTGCACGCGACTGCTCGCAGGTTGGCTTTCCTGGCGCCGTGCCATTCCGACTCTCTAACCGAGAAGCGATGTCAGGTGCTTTGTCGCACCACCCGGCACAACAGCCATTTTGTATGCGTCTACTGGAATTATGGCCAGGCCGAGAGTCACCCTGTGATGAACTGGTTGGCCCAGCCATGGTTTTCCCAAGGCCTTGCCATCAAGCGTAATTTCAGACATATATAAACAGGAAGTAGATTTAGATACATTTACCGACTCCTATTAACGGACAGCACTAAGGCTTAAGCTTGATCTTCTGGAACGTGGAACTACGGGCTGGTAGCTGCAGGTAGCTGTTTGGCATCGGTTTCGAGCGCGGACTGTCTCCAGGTATCGTTCTGCAGACTCAACAACTAGTGTTGCGAAGGGTTGAAAGGTGAGCAACCAAAGCCTGCTCTGCGCATTACATGGGTGACGTCCGGAAGGACCAGAACAGGCGATGGCCTGTAGGGCTTCGCGCCAAACCTGGGAACGCAATCGTCGCAACGCTGCAATTCGTTTCCCCACATGGCTCATTTATTTGTTTATTTTACTTGTCATAGAGTTCAGTTACCATGTCAAGAAGAAGGATTGTCATGATTGCTTTAGTCGAAGGCTGCGCAAAGGGCCGCCCAGGGACATCAACCATGGATTCTACCTAACTAAGCTACTCTGTAATTACGATAAGCGGTAAAGGTGATAATTCAAAAGTGGGGCCCTGCAGGACCGCGTGCAGGACGCCGCTTGATAATTGGGTGTCACTCAGTTTTTTTGCGTGAATCCCTAAGCATAATCTTTGTATGCAATAGAATTTCACAATCGCTCAAAATACGTGTGATAACTGTGAAATAACAGTAGGAACGGTGTGAGCCCTAAGCAACCCTGGCTGTGACTAAGGCTTACACCCTAGGTGCATGCCAGCGCGAAATGGAGGTCAGCTTATTTCTTATTTAGCATTGGTCAACTCTGACCTGCTACTTAACGGCGCGGCCCTCAATTAAACCAAATGATGATTTCTATTTCGGTTTTGAGGGTCCTAGGAGAACCTACTGGAAGGCGCTAAACAATTCTCTTGAATACAGTCGTCTGGCTGCCATAAAGCTACACTGCATCGCAGTCACGTGGGAGTTACGATGGCGCGGGACTTCCCAGAAGGGCAAGTAGGGTTGTTGGAATATCATGAAAGTGCTTGGAACCCTAAGTGAATTAGAAGGTCACGCTTCGTGACAGGATGCCTGATAAATGGAAAGCTATTCGTTGTTGTCATCAAAAGCCATGCCTTTCGGTACGGTTTTGTGTTGCATAATCAACCAAGCTGGACCCAGTCGTCACAAAATTGAATTGAATTTATTGTTATAATTCTTTTCCATCTTGCAAATTTGTTCTGCCACGTTCTTCCAGTCATACAAGTCGTGTTCCGGGACCCACGTGGCTTACTAGCTGTCCATCGGACGGTAAACAGCGGGAGAGGGATATATTTTCTAAGTTGATTTGTGTGAAATAGAGCAAATCTCAGTGTCACTAGGTAGGCTTTTTGCATTCCGCTCGTATGTTTGCGCTTGCCTGTGGCTGTTGACATTCCCAACACACGGAGTACCACTTTATTTCCAGGATGTCTTCAAGCATTCATCAATATGGTCTGCTGATGGCTGCAGCTGACGGTTCCCGCATCTGCGGCGGGAAGGACTCTGATTTGGCACGCTCCTTCAATAATGAGAGGAGCCGGGCGCTGACTACCATCAAAAAAATAAGCCTTTCAGCAAGGCGCGCTTTGCAGCTGGTTTCGCGGAGCATTGAACACCGTGGCCCTTTGCGAAGTGGCAGCGCTAGTGATGTTTCATGTGACGCGCAGACCCCGGGGGACAGCTCGCTGTGCTCACATATCGCCGCGCTGCCAGAACATTTACCCGATAACAATAACAGCTTCTGTGTCCATCAACTTGCCGACCTTCCCTCCCCCAAGGTTTCCACCGTTCCCACACCCGAATCATTGCGCCGCGTGGAAGACCCCGGCCGGCAGCCCCCATTATCCATTCAACCGCAGCAGTCTCAATTCCAGAAATCATCTGCACCACCGGTCTCATCAACGGTGAAGCCGCGATCGCTACTCAGCGCGCTTTTGAAGCGCCAGTCCTCCAGCACTTCGATAATTGCCGACGCCGGGACGACTGCGCCCGCCAATTCAGCTTCGCTGCAAAAGCCACCAACCCCTCCAGGCCCTCCCGCTTGCAGCTCACTCTGCCACGTACCCAACCCGGGACACTCTCCAGGACCACGGGCTCCACAGGCCTGCGCGATGGGGTGGCTGTACGACTCTCTGCCAGCTCAGCAGGACCGCCGCAACCCATTGCCATCCCCAATGCTCGTCCTGCAACATCCATCCCGCCACCACGCGGCTGAACGCATAGACGTGAGTCTCTCAGCCCCCAACCCGCACGTGGCATCGCTTAAGCGAGTCTTGAAGGGCTTGGAGCACAGCACTGAAGCAACAGCAGCAGCGGCAGCGGCAACGCCGCTGTTGCCGCCATCAGCCTTACAACCAGTAGTGGCTGCATGCGCTTCCTCAGTGAGAGTAGCCAACAGGGCAGCCGCACCGCTGCAGGTGCAAGCGGCGGACTCCATAAACCTCCCTGGCACGCAAGCCTCACCTCCTGTGGAAGGCTATCGAAGGGTACCCCTCCTGAACCCAAGCGCCGAGGAGGCAGCGCTCAGAGAGCCTTCTCCTGTTATGCCAGCTACCAGCCTGCTGGCTTTATCGCTTGGCGGCGTCGGGCGGGGCGACATCAGCAGCGTCGTGCAACGTCTGAGTCCTGGGGCTAGGTACCCAGCAGGATCTAAGCAGGAACCTGCAGATCCGCCGTTACCACAGCCACGGCAACAGCAGCAGGCAGCAGCAGCGGTAGCGGCGACGGTGGCGGAGGCAGCGCTGCCTCCGGCAGCTTCGGCAGAAGCGGTGGGCCGTAGCATATTGTTGGTGACAAGCTGTAGCACGCCACCGGCGATGCAACGGAGCTTTTGGACTCTGGATAATTACAGCTTGCAGAAGCGGCTGTACAAGGGCAAAATGTCTTCCGTGTACAAGGTCAGCCTGGTATACGACGGCGACGGATAACGGGAATGACTTCTCCCTGTAACCCTTGTAACCCTTGTAACCCTTGTAACCCTTGTAACCCTTTTTTTACAGCTGAGCCGGCCTGTCCCCACCCATAGCAAGCAAAAAATGTTAGGTTTTCCGTATCCAGCCTAGACGGACCGCACCGTAGGGGGGGCCAAAACGCTTCCTGGGCAAGTTTCTTAGCGCTTCTCATCTGCCCCTTGCCATATCTCCCCAAGCCAGTATCCCGTGCTGTTAGGCGCGATTCTAAGTGTTTGATGTGTGGCTTGACCCCGACCTTCTGTAGGGCCGCTGCTTGCAATCTGGCCTGCCGGTCGCCCTGAAAGTGTACTTCAAGGATCGCGTGCCCGCCAACGTAATTCACATGGTGATGCGGGAGGTCAGCATCCACCTACAGGCCACGGAGCAACGAAACGTGCTAAAGCTGTACGGCGTCTTCCAGGTACTTGTGATCCAGAACCGACAAAGCGCACGTGACTGCTAAATTGCCATCGGGCCAATTGGACAGACCTTTTGGGTATACGCGTATACCTACAGAGTCGCCGTTGAATGCCCAAGCCATCGAAATATTTAAACAGGATAAGTAATTGGAGTATTCGTAGGACTGGACACAATCCATTGAACGTTTCCCCCGTTGCGAGGAAAGACGGCCCTTGGACTTGCCAAGGATCGAAGCACCTCGTTAACCTTCTCGTATTCCTGATCACGTGTTGGTCCACATTCAAGGGGAGGGAACGGCTATTCTTGCCCTTTTCCTATTCCCACGGCGACTAGCATGCGTGGCTTGTGTTGTGATGACGGTGCGCCTCCATTTTGCCCGTCAGCTGTGTTTTCTTGACTGAGCAATGTCGGCGTGCGAGCGTTCCTCCACGCGTACTTTCCAGACTCCTTCATGCTTTATAGCAAGCTATAAAGCTTTTGTGCGCCTGTATTACGTCGTACATTCAGAACGATGACGTTATCGTACTGGTCTTGGAGCTGGCGGCGCGCGGCAGCCTGTCGGGCATCTGCAAGAGTATTAATGGCGGGCGGCTGAGTGAGGCACAAGTACGGCAGACAGTCGTGGAACCCTTGTTGGATGCGTTGTCGTACTTGCACGGCAAGGGCGTGTGCCACCGAGACATCAAGGCAGGTTGCAACGGCCCAAGGGTCGGTTTGCATGTGGGATGGCGGCTCACAGGGTTGGGCTCT